ATATTTATATACATATATATTCATTTGTATGTGTATATATATGTGAGAGATTATTTGTGGGAAATCATGCTGAAATACATTGTGCGCGTGATGTTCTGATCGCGTATGCCAACGGTTTGTTGCAAGCCATTTTATTTTATTCTCTCTGATTCGACTTGACGATGTAGTTTCACTGCCGAGTTTATATCATCTTTCATTCCCAGCCCAAGACTGACGGAGTCAACTCCTTTCATGTTACTGTTATCTTGTATATCTCTCGCATCATCTCTACTATTTATTTGTTATACTGTTCGTGCTATCTATGTTCCCTGTACTGTGTATATCACTGCCGTTGTCATCGTCCCCAGACGATCCCAAATAATCGGCCCCACCTAATTTGTCGGCTGTCTCCTCATCCTCCCGAAAACTCGCACTCAGCTGTTCTGCGGTCATTTCCTCAGGGTCCAAGGTAGGTATGGTTGCTAGGTTACCGCCATACCGCGACCCCGCACTTCCCATATCTGCACCACTCCCATTCCCCCCACCCAGCCGCCGGGTATGCATCTCCGCCCTCCGTTGCCGTTCAAACTGTCTGCGTATGCTGCGTTTGCTTTTGCACAGGAAATTGTTCGTGTGTTGGGTCACCGCATCGAAGAAGGTGTTGTATTCGGCGTCAGTCATGCGCTTGATGTCATCGGCGGTGATTGAGCTGAGTGTGCGTGCTGTGTTTCCAATTTGCACCTGCGTTGAGGGGTCGTAGACAATATCTGGCGCGTTCGGGAATTGTATTGATTGGATTGAATGAGGATTTGATAAGAATTCGGGGTTTAAGCAAAAAAGGTACTTCTACGGTTTTAAATTGGTAGATACATATACACACTACACAGCCAACCAGACACAGACAAGAGAAGATCAGGATGGTCCGAGGAACTCACATGAACAACGATTACTTTTCCATGCTCTGATCTCTTAGCACACACAAGCACACACGCACACGGACGAACGATAAATAGTCAACATAACACACCGTAAACACACACGCGCGACACGCAGTGAAACACGCACACAAAGCGTTCAAGCATTTACATATAAGTGCGGAGCCCGGGCATACGCATGCGCATTCGAGCGCTCTCATGCAAAAAAACGTCTCACTTTCATATCCACATCCACCGTGTACGATTATTGTGCACAAGACACATGCACGAGTGATGTATGCTGTATTTGTGATGCGTGTGCGTTTACTCGCACAAGCCCACTCACCTGTCCAGTACTGATCTGTGTCGATAGGTTCGTCTAGGGCGCTGTCATCGGAATGTTCTGTGTATGCGTCTGTGTCTGAGCCGTCAGCCTCTTCATCCAAATCATCGGAATCATCCAGATTATCCTTCAGATCGACAATATAGAACTGGGAGGAAGGCGTGTAAGTAGGGTTGGTATATATGTGCGGCGAATAAAAGTTGACCATTTCTTGACGCAGTTAAGACAGTTCAGTGAGCTGTGCACAACAAGAAGTTCGTGCATGTGAAGTGCAAATACCACACAAGTAGTTGGTGATTCCCGGTAGAACGAGCCTGGCCATAGGCAGAGTGTGGCGTAGAAGGGTTAGCTCCGGTCAAAGCGATTTATCACTTTGAAAACTTGTTATATACTATTCTTGCAGTAAATACATTGAGGCATATGCGTATATCCATGCAAGGAACGATAACTTATATATTTTTTTTGTGAATTAAGTACATTGGTGCATGCATATACATATACCATAGTGAAAATCAATAACTTATTGTATACATATAGTCTGTGAAATAAATACATTGATTCATACATTTGCGTATACCCTAACAAGAATAACAGACTCGTGTGGAAATGTACCTTTTCACGCTTGCGTTCCATCTGACGCTCTATCTCCATGAGTTTGTCCTCTTCAGACTTGTGTGTCTCTTTGTCGTCTGTGACAGGTGTGTGATCCCGCCAGGCGTTGCATAGCAGGTAATACGTATCGTACGCTGTCTGCATATCCCCTTCATTGACCCTCATAGGCAGCACTAAATCGTTACCCTTCGGAACGGAATTGGTGCTTATGGTATTATAATAAAGCCATTGACAGTTGATGTGCATACACAACCTTGAGCCAAAGCAACGCACTAGTAGCATGAATGCTTTGTATTGCAAAGGTCACCAACTACATACAACATCTGAGAGAGACTGCACAAACATATAGTGTGCATACTAGCGCCATGGACCCCCGAGTTCGCAGCAACACGGCTCGTGCCGTACCAACCTATAAATAGCTACCAATCAGAACGTACGATCGATTGACTTACAGGCACGAGTTGAATGCTGAGTGTTGCATTGATGTCGCCCAGATAGTCTCTACCAGACCACTGAGTTTCCTTTCGCTTCTTCGCTGCGGCTGCTTCGTACGCTGTGCGCATGGCTTCTGCCTTCACATCACTCGAATCTATTTATAGAACGCATGAAAGTGGGGCTTATGAGGATATATCGATACATTTGTGCACAGGCCGATGATCTCGCAATATCACGTGGTCGTGTCTCATGTAAACTTAGTGTATCAGGACTCTTTCGTCAATTGTCCACAGTTGTTATGTATGGTCTCAGCTACAGCGAGGAGTACAACGCAATTAGTACTGCGGGAGTGTAAGGCGAGTCTGTGTGGCGTAGTGCAGGCAGAGGCGTACGATTCACGAGATGGAATGGCCACCGCAAACGGACAATTAGAACCATGTAAAAGGTACACACAACTTGCACACATAGAAGACGACCTTCTCCCCTTAACACACAACTAGACAAAGCAACACAGCTAGACGAAGCAACACAGATCACGAAAAAGCACAGAGAAACAGCCACAGGCAGTAGATGGCGAGGATTTGAACAGAATGCACAAACACGGCACACGAGTGCCATAGCTCAACACAGAACCATGTGATGTTACAGTGGGCACTAAACTAGTGGATACGAACAGACACTCTGAGAGGCACTCGACGAACCACATCTACGACGAAGCCACAACACCCGCGCATATAACTCAACACAGTACGATGTAATGCTACAACTCAACCCAGTAGCATGCCATGTTACAACTCAACCCAGTACGATGTAATGCTACAACTCAACCCAGTAGCATGCCATGTTACAACTCAACCCAGTACGATGTAATGTTACAACTCAACCCAGTAGCATGCCATGTTACAACTCAACACAGTACGATGTAATGTTACAACTCAACCCAGTAGCATGCAATGTTACAACTCAACCCAGTACCATGCAATGTTACAACTCAACCCAGTAGCATGCAATGTTACAACTCAACCCAGTAGCATGCAATGTTACA